GTAGCCTACCAGACTCTTCCATCCAATAAGGTATCATATACCTTATTAATAAAGAACAAAAACTACACGATCACCCCAGTAGACTCAGAAAAGGTATCTGTGAAAACACATCAACTTTGGGACTTTCCTGGTGGCTCAGGGGTAAAGAATCTGCATGTCAATGCTGGGGACACGGGTTCAATCCCTGGTCCATGAAGATCCCACATGCTGTGAAGCAACTAAGCCCAGGGGTAACTACTGAGCCAGCACTCTGGAGCCCACGAGCTGTAGCTACTGGAGGTCGAGTGCCTAAAGCCTGTGCTTCACAACAAGAAAAGCTACTGCAATATGAAGCCTGGGCAATGAAGAGCAGCCTCTGCTCGCTGCGACTAGAAAAAGCCCAAGAGCAGCCACGAAGATCCGGCACAACCAAAGGGGAAAAAAAAAAGACTGCTTTGCCAATGCAGGGGGCACGGGTTTGATCCACAGTTGGGGAACTAAGATCCCACATGCCATGTGGATAGGCAAAAAAAAGATTAAAAAAAAAAAAAAGAAAAGGACTCAGAAAGGGCTTCTCAAGTGGCTCAGTGGTAAACAATCCACCTGCCAATGCAGGAGACATTAGTTTGATCCCGTGGAGCAAATAAGCCCATGCACCACAACAAGAGAAGCCACCACAATGATAAGCCCACACACAACTAGAGAGTAGCCCCAGCTGGCCACAACTAGAGAAAAGTCCCAGCAGCAGTGAAGACCCAACACAGTCAAAAATAAATAAATAAAATTTTTGAAAAAAAATGCAAAATATCTCATCGTAATGCTTTTTAAGAAAGGGAAGAAAAACAACCCCACATCATCTTTTCTTGATAAAAATACTAAGCAAACTAGAAACAGAGTGAATGAAATGCTAAAGGGCATCCAGGAGATGCTGATACCCAACATTTGAACAGACACTCTTCCAAAGAAGAAATATAAATGATCAATAAGCTCATGAAAAGGAAAACATGAAAAGGACGGGTCCCCTTACCCCAGCCCCTGACCACTGCCCGGGTCACCCGGTCCTCCCCGGGATCCCCAAGGGGCGCATTCACAGGCCGAGACTTCCACTCAAGAGGGGACGGGAGGGGACAGGACAACGGGGTCGAGGGGGAGACTTGGGTCGTTATCTAGAGGAGCGGGCGCCGGAGACCCGGGCCTGCCTCAGCTCCCAGCGGGTCCTAATCAGCCTCAGCCGGTCTCCGGCTCCGGTCAGAGAACTCACCATATCTGCCAGTTCCTGGATCTCCAGAGCCTCCTTCCCGGAGCCAGCGAGGCCACGGAAACAGGACACCTGAGGCCGCACACCTCATGCCTGCTGGAGAGCCCAGGTCTGAAGCGAGAGACGCCTGCGCGGGGGAAGGGTGGCCGCCGCCGGTCCTGACAGGACGGAGTTCCGGGCCTCCGCCCTCTAATTGGACGGTGTCCCACGCACTCCTCCCCCAGAAGCTTCTTGTGTACGTAATACCCGCCCCCGCAGCCCTTGATTGAATGGTTCTCCGGGAAGTGGCGATCTTATTGGATGGTACTCCTGACACTCACCCCAGGACTCCGAAAGGATAAGCTCAGGCAAGATTCCGGGCCCTGATTGGACAGTTGTTTAGACCTCTGTTACCCTGACACCTCCCCTGCAGTTCTGGTTATTCTCCTGGGTTCGCCCCCGCCTCCCTTGACTGGACAGTGTTACTGTCCTTCCAGGCTTCAGTGTTTAGTCTGAACCTTCGTCAAGTGCTTATGCCGGGCGGAACTGCGGTTTTCAGCTTCAGCCCATCCCCGCCCGGGCTCCTTCTAGATACCTGGACTCGCTAGCCCGGGACGTGGGTTCGTAGCAGAACTTGTTCCCGGGCAGGTGGACCTGGATCGAGAAGTCCTGACTTACTTGCCTCACAGAGAGACCCCTGTCCAGGGTCGGGACTGGATGAGATGGGACAGGAGAGCCCGGTGACCTCAGGGGCCAATGGTCCGGGGGTGAAGTCATTGTGGGTCTGTGCCATTTCTTTAAGAACAAAGACATTCACGTCCTTATATAAGCCAGGATCCCACTGCGTTTGACGTGTGGCCTCTGGCACCAGGAGGCCCCGCTCTCCTGACCCGGCTCCCAATATGGGCTTGACCAAGTTCTTTCGAGTCCTATTTCATAGCCCACGGTATCAGGCTCTCTCCCCACAGGGAATGGGAACGCTGGATCGCAGCCCCTCACCCCCCACCACCCCCGTCTGAGCAACAGTGAGGTTCTGAAAAAGCCCTGGGTCAGCTTTTCCAGACAAGGTACCCAGGAGGCCCCCGTCCAGTCCTAGTGGTCTCAGAATCCGCATAGCCCCTCACTAGCCCAGCTTTCATCCTGCTGCCCCGCTTCACACAGATGGAAAAAGCCCTTTGCTCTGTGGTTGGAGACGCTGCCCCTCTCAGGCCCGAGCCTCGGTCCTCTGGCAGCCCTCTGTGAATAAGATTTCTCTTTAGTAAGTCTATATAGATTTTTTTTTAAAAATCAGATATAGTTGTTTTTATAAGACAATTTCATTTTAAAATATTCTTTATTTTTGGCTGTGTTGGGTCTTCCTTGCTGCAGCAGGCTTTTCTCCAATTGCAGTGCAGTGGCTTCTCATTGCAGCGGCTTCACTTGCTGCTTCAGCACAGGCTCAGTTATTGTTGCACATGGGTTTAGCTGCTCCCTGGCACGTGGGATCTTCCCAGACCAGGGATCAAACCCGTGTCTCCTGCGTTGGCAGGTAGATTCTTAACCGCTGAGCCAGCAAGGAAGCCCTAGATACATTTCTTAAATGATGACTCCTGCAGCTTCTGGAGGGCCTGGTTTCAGGGCCATGTGGCCTGGGGTAATACCCCAGTGGATACCAACCTGGGTTGCTATGCATCAGATTTTTGTGGTTCTACGACACAGCCATAGAGGATGAGCCACTTGCAGAATCTGAAGACAAGGGTGGGCATAGTAGCATGACTTTCAAATACCTTTTGGGTCAGGGTGGTGTAGGGGCACCATGTAGCATGAAGGATCTTAGTTCCCCAAGCAGGAATGAACCTGTGCCCCTGCAGTGGAAGCACAGAGTCTTAATCACTGCACTGTCAGGCAAGTTCACAAATAGAATTAAATCATATGACCTGATTTGGGTGTATGTAGTTGATAGGGTATCAGGTTGTTTGCCAATCAAAATACCTGGGGTTGAAGTTGGAACTTCAGCACTAGCCTATAAGGACTTTAGCCAATAATAATGTATCAATAATAATATAAACAACCAGGTCCTACTATAGCACAGGGAACTATATTCAATGACTGTGATAAACCATAATGGAAAGAAAATGAAAAGAATACACACACACATACACATATATATATATAAATGAATCACTGTTATACAGCAGAAATTAACACATTGTATAAATCAACTATAAGTTTTTAAAAAGCACCTTAAAAAGGATTGTTATATTTCAAACTCCCCTTTCATAGCTTTTATAACAACCAAACTGAAAGAAAAGTTTAGTTAAAAAAAAAAAGTCCTTGTATCCCCCAGGACTTGATAGCAGCAATAATTTCTGAAATTCTTCCATAAGTGAGTGTTGCCTCAGGCTTACTATCTTAAGGAACAGTTCTAGAAGCAGCTCTTTGACCTTTCCCCAACAATATGCCTCAAAATATGTTAGGAAACCAAAATGATTATTTTAGTGGTAAGTAAATGTATCTATAGATTCTCCGGTGGCTCAGTGGTAAAGAATCCACCTGCCAATGCAGGAGACATAGGTTCCATGCCTGGGTCAAGAAGATCCCCTGGAGAAGGAAATGGCAACCTAGTCCAGTATTCTTGCCTGGAGAATCCCATGGACAGAGAAGTCTGGTGGGCTACAGTCCATGGGGTCACAAAAAAGTCAGACATAACTGAGCAACTAAACAACAACAACAAACTGCAAAATCTTAGTAATGGCTTCACTTCTGCCTTCTGTATCTCACATCAATAGGCTTCTAGTATATTTGGACACAGAATCATAAAGGGAAGGGATCTACGGAACTGTAGTTCCTAACACTACTCATGCTGATGTAACACAATCCAGAACTCGATATCTCATGGTGACATCATAAGTGTCTCTTAAATAAAAAACCTAGTTTTAATTCACAATCACAAACAAAGACAGAGCAAAGCATAAAAGTTGAAAGTAACAATTCACATGAGACTACACACTTTGAAGAACTTTGCATAATTACAAATTTCTACCATTTTTAAGAAAAATGGAATAAGGCTCCACTGGCCTAAATAAATAAAGGCTGTCTCAATACCATGGTGGAAAATATCTAATAGTTGATTATCCAGTATCTGCCACACTAAGCCAGTAGGAAAATTTCAACAAATACCACAAGGTCATTTTTCCAATGACCCTTTAAAGGACAACTTAAACAACTAAGATATTAAACTATATATTTAACTGCCTGGCTAGCTCAGTCAGTACAGCATCGGGCTTTTAATCCCAGGGTCATGGGTTTTAGCCCCACATTGGGTAGCTGCTCTAAACTATATATTTAATATAGTGTATATATTAAAAATACACTGCAAATCACCCATGAGTCCAACTGGAAAGATAAATGTTTTATTTCCTGAAACATAAAAAAAAAAAAACCCACTACCTACAAAATTTATGTACTATAGTTAAGAGAGTACTTTAACAGTTAATTTTTATCAAAAAGAACTAGAAACACACTCCATATGGATCCACTTCCATGACGAGGGACTCATAAAGGCAATACCGGATTTTCAACTTTTATAAGATTTCTCTCCTCGTGTGAATTTTCTGAAGCACTGTGCATGAATTCATTTGCAGGATGATTTTCTCCATTACACATGTAGTATTTCTCCACAGTATGTATCCTCACATGTCTTCTTAAGGATGAGGAACAACTGAAGGCCTTCCCACACTGCTTACATTCGTACGGTTTCTCTCCAGTGTGCATTCTCATATGTATTGGTAGGGATGAGGGCCACTTGAAGACTTTACCACATTCCTTGCATTCGTACGGTTTCTCTGCAGTATGCGTTCTCACATGCTGTTGCAAAAGTTCAGGCCAACTGAAAGCTTTCTGGCATTGCTCGCATTCATAAAGCTTCTCGGCGGTGTGCCTTCTCATATGTTTCTGTAAGGAGAGGTGACAGTAGAAGGCTTTCCCACATAGCTTGCATTCATAAGACTTGTCTCCGGGATGCATTCTCACATGCTCTCGAAAGCAAGCAGACAAATTGAAGGCTCTTCCACACTGTTTACATTCATAGGGTTTCTCTTTAGTGTGAGTTCGCAAGTGTTTTCGTAAGGATATGGGCCAGTTGAAAGTTTTCCCACACTGACTGCACTTGTAAGGTTTCTCTCCAGTGTGCACCCTCATGTGTCCTCGAAAGGAGGATGGGTGGCTGAATGCTTTTCCACACTGGTCACATTCATAGGGTTTTTCTCCACCGTGCGTCCTTTCATGTCTTCGAAATGACTGGGGATAGATGAAGGTTTTTCCACATTGCTTACATTCGTAGGGCTTCTCTCCAGTGTGAATCCTTTCATGCCTTCGAAAGGACTGAAGATAAATGAAGGTTTTCCCACACTGTTTACATTCATAGGGCTTCTCTCCCGTGTGTGTTATCATGTGCCTTCGAAAAGCTGAGGAATAACTGAAGGCTTCCCCACATTCCTTACATTTATGTGGTGTCTCCCCGGTATGTGATATCATGTGTCTTCGAAAAGTTGAGGAGTAGCTGAAGGCTTCCCCACATTCCATACACTTATAGGGCTTCTCTCCAGTGTGTGTTATCATGTGTCTTCGAAAAGTTGAGGAGTAGCTGAAAGCTTTCCCACACGCCTTACATTGATATGGTTTCTCTCCAGTGTGAGTTCTCACGTGACTAGTAAGACTTGAAAAATCAATGAAGGCTTTCCCACATTGCTGACATTCGTAGGTTTTCTCAGCAGTATGAATCCTGATATGCCGGTTGAGGGAAGAAGTACGGGGAAAGGTTTTTCCACATAATTTACACACAAAGGGCCTTTCTCCATTATGGATTCTCACATGCGTCCTTAGGTGTGAATGACAACTGTAGGCCTGCCCACAGTCCTGACACTGATACGGCTTATGTCCAGTGCGAGCAGTGCTGTGATTCTTGAGTGAACAATGCATGAAGGCTTTTTTGTATGCACTGTATTCATACTGTTTTACTCCAGCAAGAGTTTTCTGGTACAGGTTAAGATTTGGAATCTGACTGAAGCCTTCCCCACAATGATCATTACTTTCATGGAGTCTTTCCACCACATGATTTCTGTTAAACATGAGAAGCATGTTATAAATGGTTTCACTAATAATGATTTATTAATAAGTACAAGGATTACAGGGCTTCCCAAGTGGTGCAGTGATAAAGAATTTACCTGCCAATGCAGGACACACAAGAGACATGGGTTCAATCCCTGAGTCAGAAAGACCCTCTAGAGGAGGAAATGGCTACCCACTTCAGTATTCTTTCCTGGAGAATTTCATGGACAGAGGAGCCTGACGGGCTACAGTCCATGGGGTTGCAAAGAGTCAGACATGACTGAGCACACACACAAACATACACACAAGGATTACACTATCATGGATTTCACTGAATGGGTAAATCTTCTCACTGATTTGACTTCTTTTAAAGTGGAATGAACTCAATGCCACGAAAGGGGGCTCAACTGCAACCATTACAAAAACAAGTGTTTCTTAAACATGATCTCTCCTGCTGATTGTTTTCACCTGTTTCTAGCACAACATGAATGTCAAATTTAAAAAAATTTTCGTGAAAATCTCTTTGAATAAACAAATCTGACCTAGGCTTACGTGTGCTTTGTTTGCTTTTTAAACTTCATGACATGCTAAGATTCTCTCCTGAAATACTGCTTTCTCTGAGAGCAACTCACCTCGGGTGTCTACTCTGGTATGTGTACTGATCTTCAATGCTGAGTTCTTCCCAAATTTTTCCTAAGACAAAGGGCCAGGAATCATTTCCAGTGAACTTTGATATTTTATGTTCTTTGGATATTTTATTCCCATAAATATCCTGCTGAGAAACTGACCCATTGGCCTTACATTGAGTCTCATCATCTGAAAGCAAAAAGGGAACAAATCTTACAAGAAAGAAGCTACCTGTTAGCCAAGAAAGAAACTGAGGCATTTATCTGTGTCAAGACTTCATCAAAAACAGTACAAGGGGTCAAAATGATGAGCACTTTAATAAACACAGTAAAATTCTCTCAAGGTTCTAAAATAGAATTTACTGGGATCTCCAAGGCCCCATGAAACCTGTATCTACTAGTGATACTAAGGGAGCTTTCTTTACAGAAAAGAAAAACTCAGTTTAATACACAGAATCACATTTTTTGTGGGTAGATTCTATGGTAGTTGTGACCACATCTGTCTTATTAGTTAACATACTTCCTTTCTACATTCTACATCTCAGAATAGTGATGTGCCAGATATGCTTGTCTCTAAATAACTAAGTGAAAGAATGACATCATTCTTACCCACTGAGGCTAGGTTTCTGAAGGTCTCCAGCATCACGTCTCTGTAGAGCTCCTTCTGAGCAGAATTCAGCAAAGCCCACTCCTCCAGGGTGAAGTTCACAGCCACATCCTCGAAGACCACCGAGTCCTGAAACAACCAAAATATGTGCAGGAGCTTGGATGTGATTCATGACACTGAGCAACTGGGCTCAAGTCACAGGAAGCTCAAACAAGATTTTGTGGTCACCAAACATTCACCCTGTGACTCAGTCGTCACACCTCCTAACTTTATGTCCACACTCCTGCCCTCATAGATTAGTGATTCAGTTGGTAAAGAATCCGCCTGCAAGGCAGGAGACTGCCTGCAATGCAGGAAACCTGGGTTTGATCCCTGGATCAGTAAGATCCCCTGGAGAAAGAAATGGCAACCCACTCCAGTACTCTTGCCTGGGGAATTTCATGGATAGAGGCGCCTGGCAGGCTACAGTCCATGGGACTGCAAGAGTCAGACATGACTAGCAACTAAACCACTACCACTAACACACTCAACTTACCTCTACATTTCTACTGTGACCACTTCAAGTCTCACTCTTCTCTAACCAAAGGATTCAAATCATGTTGGAGAAATGAAAGTACTATACAAACAAAACAATATTTCATTTTAAAAAATTTTTATTTTCTTAACACCAAAAACATATTATATTGCAGTACAGCCAATTAAGGGCTTCCCAGGTGCTTCGAATGGTAAAGAACCCACCTATTAATGCAGGAGACATAAGAGACATGGGTTCAGTCCCTGAGTCAGGAAGATCCCCTGGAGGAGGGCATGGTAACCCACTCCAGTATTCTTGCCTAGAGAATCTCCTGGACAGAGGAGCCTGGCAGGCTACAGTCTGTAGGATCTCAAAGAGTCAGACATGACTGAAGCAATTTAGCATGCACGCACAGCCAGTTAACAATGCTGTGATTGTTTCAGGTAAACAGTGAAGGGACCCATCCATACATATACATGTGTCCATTACAATATTTGCATTTTAAGAACTGTCAACCCCCTTGCGACACAAGACTTTATAGCTTCTTCCTACAGCACACCATTCATAAACACATGAAGCTCAAGGTCAGCCTGAAGGAATAAAAGCACAATGAAGGTGGGACTTCCCTAGTCCAGTGGTTAGGACTCTGCACTTGCAATTCATAGAGCACAGGTTCAATTTTTAGTCAGGGAACTAAGATCCTGCACTGCCACATGGCGCGGGCAAAAATAAACAAATAAATGATTTTTAAGAACGTACAATGAAGGACTGGACATATTTCCTTCTTTTCCCCCAACCAAATATGACAGGCCAATGGGCCTGTGGGAACCCAATGTGCTGCAAGGGCCAACTAGCCATATTGTCTTAAAGAACTCCAGGTCATAAGGACAGTCCAACTGAATAAATATTTCTTTTGAATAAATAAAATATTTCTTTTGAATATGCATTAATTTTAACTTTTCTGTGTAATAGTTATCACCAGCCCAGTTTCTACTCTTTTTCTCTATTTTCATGATGATATAAAGTAAAAATTCCATACATTCTCTACACTCCTGAGCCAGTGCTGCTGCTCAGCAGTTCCGAGATCACACACACACACACACACATGTTCCATGATGCTCTTCTACAGGAGTCATAAAAGAGTACCCTTATGACCTTGAGGCAAAGGTTAAGAGTCCTATTTTGCAAAGGACTTTAACATCAGAAACATTTGACAGCAAATTTACCCTTGACTATAAAATACATAAAGGATTCCAGTGCCTTCCTACAAAGGAAACACTGCCTTGCCTCAAGTTCCAGGAGACAGTGATTCCACACAAACCAACCTAGAGGCTGCACTCTGTTTCTCTTATGTCCACGTCCCTCCCCTGGTGGGCACATGAGCAAGTCAGGCCAACTCCTAAGCACAAGAGCCACTGAGCTGCATGCCTCCCTTAAGCCATGTTTCCTTTTTTTTTTTGCTTTTGCTTTTAAAGTTCATCAACCCAGTGACATTCCATGAGCAGAGGAAAGAAAACACTCTTCTGCAACAATTCTGATGCCATAATTTAGTACCTGTTCAACAGAGCATAACAGGAATATCCCTATTGTACAGGAGCTTCTTGAGTCAGGTGAGTTACTCATGATACAGTTGCCTGTAGTGTTTCCTCTATTGAACGTGCAGGAAGAGTGGACACTGCAAACCTTAACTTGATCCCTGGCAATGATTGCTGGCGAGGAGGCAACACTGGCCTTGGCTGGCATCTGGGAACTTAATTTTTGAAGGTTTCACAACTGCCATAATTATTACTCCCTATCTCTAAACTGATAGTTAATACTGAGCACCTGCTTTTTGTTTGGGTATCTGGGCTTTGGGTCCATGCTGGGCACAGGATGCTTACACAATCAGCTGTCAATAAAAACCCCAGGGCACTGAGTCCCTAATGAGCCTCCAGGAAATAGTATTTCACGTGCTGTCACAACCTGAGCTGTGAGGTGTGTTCTGTGTGACTCCACTGGGAAAGGTCTATTAAAAGCCTGCATGTGGTTTTCTTCAGATTTCTCCTCATGGCCCTTTTCCCTTTGCTGAGTCTGCTTTGTCCTTCTGTTGTGATAAATTCTAATCATGAGTACAACTCTGTGCTGAGTCACGTGAGTCTTACCTGCAGAACCACAGGTGGTCCTGTGGTCACCAGACACATCAGAAGTGGGATTTGCTGAAACAATCCAGACTCACTAAAATATGGGAAAAGCACTGTCCAGGAAGTGGAGGAAGAAGGAAGAGGGGATGATGATTGGGTAATTTGGGGTATGAAAGGTGACTGAACTGCCTGCTGTGAGGTTAAAAGTTGATCATGGTGAAAATGAGCGATCCAACTCCAGGAGGGCCAGCTCACTGAATATACCAGCTGCCAGTGGCCATGCTGGCCAAGTGAGAGGACAATCAAAGTCCAGCCCAGGTGACACCTCCGATTTTTGCTCTCTTCTGGGCAGGAGGTGAAACGCCCCTCAAGTTCCCAAAAGTGAGCTTTGGGTGAGGGAAAAAAGTTAGAAGACTGTACTGCATTAGGAGGAAAAAAAAAACTGTTCCTAGAGCTGAGGCAAAAGTTTAGACAAAGCGAAGGGCAAGGGGCTGTCCAGTCTTTCTTCAGTCTGGCATGCAGGGCTGGCCTTCTGCTGGCATGTGGGAACTTGGATCTGGGCAGCATTCTCACCACCCTGACAGCAGTGGCTCCTCTGCCCTTTTATGCTAATAATATGGTTTATGCTGAAGACCAGCTTTCCTTCTGGGAGTCTGCAATCTCAGTTCAGACTCATCACAGGTTGTCTACATGACCACCCCAACACAACCCTGGTAACTGAGCCTCTCATTAGTGTCCCGGGTGGATGGCACGTCAACCATGTTGTCACCACAGGCTGGGGGTGGGCGGGGGGGGGGGGCGGCGGAAGGAAGCCTGCTCTGTGTGATTCTGTTGGGGGGAGTGGGGAGCCCTTAGGATCCTGCACTCATTCTCCTCAGGAACTGGCCTGGGCACCTTTCTCCTGCTGACTCTGCTTTATTCCCGTGGTCAGAAATCAGAGCCGTGAGCACGGCTACACATTGAAGCCAGGGAGCCACCAAGTAAATCTGTGAAGCCAGGGTGGTCTTGGGAACTACCATGGGCTGAGGGTCTGTGCCCTCCGCCACCAAATTCAGGTTGAAACCTAATCCCCAAGGTGATGGTGTTCGGAGGTGGAGCCCTATGGAGTTGACCAGGGATGGGATTAGTGCCCTTATAAAAAGAACCCTAGAGAGCCTGCAATAAAGGAGACATAGGAGACTTGGGTTCCCCCGCTCCGGGTCTGGAAGATTCCCTGGAGAAGGAAATGGCAACCCACTTCAGTTTTCTTGCCTAGAAATGGACAGAGGAGCCTGGTGGGCTGTAGACCATGGGGTTGCAAAGAGCTGGACATGACTGAGTACACAAGCACACACACACACATATATATCTTGATATAATTCAACATATTCAACATATTGGTTGAATTTGGAGAGTGAGGGGCCTGTCATTTGGGTTCATTTCCAGTTTGGTAGGAAAGCTGGTTCTACATTGAGGGCTGAGTTTCATTTCACAGAGGATTTTTTTTTTTTCTTCAATATTTCTGTCAACTATATATGTCATATGCATTTTCCTGCACTGATGTCATCTTATACAACAGAAAACGCTATAATCAACTCATAGGAATTATCTCTAATCATCTCAGTGTTGCTGAAAGCCATTTTATAATATTCAACAGTCATACATTAAAAAACTCTTACCAGTGGGAAACATGATAATATGCATGATTAGATAAAGGAAAACAGAAGAGAAGAAAAATAAAAAAAAAAATAAAAGAACATATAAATTCTATGAAGTTAACTGTTTTTTCCAAGGCAATTAGATACAAATGAAGTATGGCCAGCTAACCTCTTAGTCAACATTATACTAGTGATCCAGTCCAGAAAATGCACAAACATGCAATACTAGAAAACAGGTTGTCTCAATGCCTAACTCAAACAACTGTACATCTATGACACCAACAGAACAAAATGATAATCATAGAATTATGAGAACAAGATCTCAGGATAAAAACTCAATATAAATTTCATTACCTTTCTAATTAAAAGCAACAGCAAATTGGAAAGGTCACTTTATTTTTTGACCATACCATGCAGCATGTGGGATCTTATTTCCCTGATCAGGAATCAAACCCAATCCTCTGCATTGGAAGCACAGAATCTTAACCAATGGACCACCAGGGAAGATCCTGGAAAGGTCACTTTGAAAAGATAGCATACACCATGGTAAAAGCCAAATTGAAGTAGTACAAAATAAGTTTAATGATGGCTATAAAAAGAACCTAATAATTAGACTACCCTGGTGGTCCAGTGGATAAGACTTTGAGCTCCCAATGCAGGGAGTCCAGGTTCAATTCCTGGTCAGGGAACCAGATCCCGTATGCCACAACTAAGATATCCCAAAATCTGCAACTGAGACGCAGTGGAACCAAATAAATAAATAATGCATTAAAAAAAAGAAAAAGAAAAATTTAAAAACACTAAGGATAGTAACAAAGAAAAATGAAATAAATGACAAGATGGCACACATTCTTAAAAAGAAATCAGTGTTACCAAAATAATGATCCTCCCAAGAGAGACCTAGGATCGTTATAAAATCCCATTAAATCCCCAAAACAGATTTTTTTTTTTTTTAGGATTTAACAAATACTAACTTTCCAACCTAATGAAAACAAATGCCCCTAAACAGTCAAAATATTCTGAAGAGCCAGGAGAGAACCTGCCTGGCACACTGCAAGGATTTTAAAGCAGCAGCACTCCTGAGAGGATGAACTGGCAGAGGAATGGGCCATTTGATCTACCTTGAGGAACAAAGTCCAAAGCAGACCTGTGTCTAAAAGGAGACGTGATTCACTACAGAGCAGCCACTGAGAGCCAAGCAGAACCAAGCAGAAATGACAGACACTTCAGCACAAAGGACAGGACAAACTGGTGTCTAAGTAAGATCTGTGTATACCCACAGGTTTCAAGGATAATAAACAATTTATTGCAGATTTAAGCAAAGTGTATTAAAGGTAATGAACAACAACAGCATCTACTGTCAGAAATTAAATAACTGACATTTTTGGGTGAATCTTCACCATTTTTACCTATCATGCTATGAGGTTATTTCCTTCACTTCTCTGCAGCTGACAGGAAGGGAAATCTCTATTTCTCTGACATGCTTTCCCCTGGAACTTTGGAGGCTATGCCCCAGAATTCCATTTGTTAACGCAAAAGGACAGACCTCAGAAACTTACCACAGACAGGTGATTTTAAAAGAATGTTTAACAAACGGAATGGAAGATATTTCCTTTTTTTTCTTTCTTCTGAAACTCACCCCTTTGAAAATATTTTATTTTCTGTTTCCCGGTGTATTAATTAGATTTATTTTACATTTGCTGAAAATCTGAGGTTCCAGTAAGCGAACACATCTTTTCAAGGCAACAAACCCAGGGAGCGGCAGGGTCCCCAGACAAAAAGATGACCAAAGGGTCAAGTGCAGCCACGCCACCACGTGGGGCACCCCTCCCCAATCGCTCACTGAAGTGCTCTCTGAACAAAGGACACCAGCAGTGTCCCCGCTGTGTCGCCTGTGCATTTTGCTTGGGCGGGGGTGGCGGTTTGAGGGGTGCTACCCCACCTGATAGTGCGTTTTCCTTGACCTTGGCGTTAGTTTTTCTCACTTACCTTGTGAGAATCCACGGGTCAGGAATTATTTGCCTTTTCCCCTCAGGCGTCCGGTCAGCTGACAACTAGTGTCCCTCCAAGAAATGAGGGCTGGAGTTGGGGTCACTCAGGACCGAGGACCTACCAGGTGACCCCTCCCAGTCCAAGGTCCCCAAGCAGGTCTCCCCAAGCTCCCCGCCCGCCCCTGCAGACTGTCCGCTGGGAGGAACCGACCAGGGGCTGGTGTTCTCAGGGCCCTGTGCGGAAGGCAGCTGTGAGCATCTGGGTCACCCGGGTAGTTCTGAGACCGCTGACACACATGCGGGGACCGGACTGGACGCCAGGACCCCACCCCGGGACCGCTTCCAGCCGGTTCAAATCAGCCCTTCCCGATGTTGGGCCCGGTCCCGCCCACTCACCATCTCTTCCCGGCTCCGGGCTCTCCCGGGAGTCCTCCCAGCGGCCCGGGAAGGTGAGAGCCACAGAGACCTGACACTTGGGCCCGCGGGGAAGGCGTGCAGCAGCGCGAAGGCCCCCAGAGAACTACCCTCACTCGGGCAGGAAGCGTGCCCGCCCCCGACCCAGATTGGACGGTATTCCTGACACTCTTTTCGTCCGGGATTATGATTGGGAAATTCTTCACACTTCACCGGTCTGATTGGGCAATCTTCGAACATTTTTACTGTCGGGGCTCCTGACTGGAAGGTTTCCCGAGACCCGCCTCCTTGTGCCCCTGATTGGACAATTTTCCGGCCCGCCCGAGCGCCTCTGATTTTTCCCGCCCTCTGAGTGATTGAGTGGCTAGGCTTCGGGATACTGTCTACTTGCCCCGGGCTCTGAGCACAACTCGCTCCTGTGCCGGCGGGCCCTCCCAAGTCCTCCTCCTGGACCCGAAGTCCTGACTCAGTTTTCACAAGGAGCGTCCCTGTCCGGAACCGGGACTAGAGAGGACTGGACAGGGTGGGTGAGGAGGGGGTCTGGTGACCTCCGGGGCCGGGAAAAAGTCGGGCAGGGATCAAGGTCACCGTGGAAACATGACTTTTACTTAGGAACAAAGACGCTTATCATACTCTGCAAGTGGGGGTCTTGCTTGATTTTGACGTGTGACTTTTGACACGTGGAGGCCCCGCCCTTCGTCCCCGTCCTCACTACTGGGCCTTGAGGTCAGCAACCCAGGCACAGTCCCCCGTGGGAGGTCAGACTTCCAGGGCCCATCTCCGTGCAGGACTGATCTCAGCATATCCACAGGTGTGAGACATCATAGTCCTCAGCTGTGCATTTTGCACTGCAGGGAAATTTATGTCTGATGGTGTTTTTAGAGTATCCCCAGAGAATACCCAGGGTCTGGTATTGTATAATACCAGATCTAATTATAATATAATACCAGATTAAGTACATTCACCAGTGTGAATGTACTTAATACCACTTTTTTTTTTTTAATCATTAGAAATACTTTTCATTCCTAGCCACTTGGCGACCCTTAAGTATCTGCGCCATCGAAAAAGCACATTGGCCTTTGAATCTTCTCAGGAAGAGTGGATGATCACACAATTCATAAGGTAAATCACAATTAAATGAAGATTATTTATTTATTGGTGGGACTTTTCCTGTCATCCGCTTCCTTTATACAACAGTAGTGTAAATAGCATCAAACAGAAAGAAAAGTTTGTTAAATGCAGCCATAAATAATTATAATAAATATCCATCAAGTAACTTTACAATGCATGTGTTTAAAAGCGAAGGATTGGCTCTGTTTGGACCTCAATGTGCTATCTGTGAGACACAATTCTGTTAGCAGCTGACATTTAAAAGTGGTTAAGATGGTAAATTTCATGTTATGTGTATTTTGCCTCCTGCGTGCTCAGTTGCTCAGTCCTGTTAAACTCTTTGTGACCTTATAGATTATAGCCCACCAGGCTCCTCTATCCATGGGATTTTCCCTGAAAGAACAGTGAAGTGTGTTGTCATTTCCTCCTGAAGGGGCTCTTCCTGACCCAGGGATCAAATCCTTGTCTCCTGCATTGCAGGCTGATTCTTTATTGCTGAGCCACCAGGGAAGCCCATGTGTTTTTTGCCACAGTATTTTTTTTAAAGGTTTTTTAAAGGCTATGATATCCCTGAGGCAATTGAATTCCTACCTTAACTGATATAAAACAACAACCAAAAGTGCTTATATAAATTTGTGATGGACCTGAAAACTCTTAATACACTTACTAGATGGGTGCTAAACATCTAATGCATTTAATATGCCTGCTTCTTTCAGAAAACATTCTCTGATTTGATGTTAAATGTATGTCCAAACTCTGATATTGCTTGTCATTTAATTTACAGACAGAATTTTTAAAATTCCTTTTGTAGGGAATTCCCTGGTGGCCCAGTGGTTAGGACTGCGCTCTTACTGCCACCGGCTCATATTCATTCCCTAGCTGAGGAACTAAAAACCCTGTAAGTCTCACAGCGTGGCCAAAAAATAAATACAGTTAAAATTCCTTTTTATAGGGTTTTCAAAAAGGTTTTAGATGCTTTCATAAAAATGAGTGTTAAGAAAATTAACATATAAAAAAGCTTCAAGGCAAAAATACTGAACTTATAAACTATTACAAATATATACTTTTAAAAATATAGATTAATGATGCATGCCGAGTTTCAGTAAATAGGCATGAATTTAATAACCTACCTCCCAATGGGCTCAAGTGGTAATGAATCCTGCCAATGCAAGAGACACAGCTTCTATCCCTGGGTCAGGAAGATCACCTGGAGGAGGGAATGGCTACCCACTCCAGTATTCTTACCTAGAGAATCCCATGGGCAAAGGGGTCTGGTGGGCTACAGTCCACGGGTCACAAAGAGTCAGACATGACTGAGCACGCACACACTTAAGGTTGTGTGATGGCATGACCCTCCTCAAGCACTCCTGTTAGTTTGCCATAACATATTCAGAGATGTATTCTGTGAGCATCACACATAAAGAATATGTCATTTCACGTTAAGGTAAAAAATGAGGCTGTCTTCTGAATGCTTCACAAAATACCCATTGTCACAAGAGAGAAGAGTAACAGGTATGGTCGTCTGAGGAAAAAGAGGGGTGATGCAAGCTATATTCAGGCCACGTTGAGATATTATTCCTCAAACACCCAAGAAGTGAAAGGGGCAGTGCAGACAAATCCCTCTCCCCTCTCCAGCCTTCCACCCTCCCTCCAGTTGGCAGAAGCTGCTGGCAAAGCAGAACCAACTTGGCAGCGTTTCTACCCACATTACAAAGCAAAGAATTGAAGGGCTCTTGGTGTTCAGCTAAATTGTGTCTGACTGCGACCCCATGCACTGCAGCATGCCAGGCTTCCCTGTCCTTCACTATCTCACAGAGTTTGCTCAAACTCATATCCATTGAGTCGGTGATGCCATCCAACCATCTCATCCTCTGTCTTCCCTTTCTCCTCTTGCCCTCAATCTTTCCTAGCATCAGGGTCTTTTCCAATGAGTCAGCTCTTCTCATCAGGTGGCCAAAGTATTGGAGCTTCAGCTTCAGCATCTGTCCTTCCAATGAATATTCAAGCTTGATTTCCTTTAGGATAGACTGATTTGATCTTCTTGCAGTCCAAGGAACTCTCAAGGGCCTTCTTCAGCACCACAATTCGAAAGCATCAGTTCTTTGACACTCAGCCTTCTTTATGGTCCAACTCCCACATCTGTACATGACTACTGGAAAAACCATAGCTTTGACTATAAGGATCTTGGTCTGCAAAGTGATGTCTCTGCTTTTTTATATGCTGTCTAGGTTTATCATAGGTTTCCTTCCAAGGAGCAAGTGTCTTAATTTTGTGGCTGTGGTCACCATCTGCACTGATTTTGGAGCCCAAGCAAATAAAATCTGTCACTGTTTTCATTGTTTCCTCATTTAATGCCATGAAGTGATAGGACCGGATGCTATGATCTTACTTTTTGAATGTTGAGTTTTGAATCAGCTTTTTTCACTCTCCTCTTTCATCGAAGGGTAGGTGCAACCAGAAGAATAAAGGTCCCCAAAGATGTCCACATCTTAACCACCAGGACTTGTGAATGTTACCTTAGGTTGTAAATTTGCAGGTAAGATTACGTTAAGGCCCCTGAGACGGGCATGACCCTGGATTCCCCAGGGGGCACCAGTGTCATCACAGGGTCTTTATAAGTGGGAAGGGGAGGGTCAGAGGCAGAAAGAGACAGGAGATGCTGCGCTGCTGGCTGTGAGGATGAAGGGAAGGGCCGGCTGTGAGCCAGGGATGCGGTGCCTCTAGAAGCTGGAAAATGCGGGAGCCAGTGCTCCCCTGGAGCCTCCGGAGGGACCAGCCCTGCCGGCGCTTTGAATTTGGACTTCTGACCTCCAGAACAGTGATAAGAATAAACTGTCTGTTTTAAGTCACTAATTATGTGGTAATTTGTTACGGCAGCAACAGGTAACTCATAGCATGGGTCCGAAGGAGAGACAGTAGCTTAGTAAGTGGCACAAATAACTCCTCTTCCAAGTTCATCTTTCCTGAGGTAGTTTTGAACCTTCCATGTGCTCCTTCAACGTGGCTCTGCTAACGTTACAGTACCTCTCACAGTCATGGGATGAGTGTGCAGAGAACATCTCTGCATATTTGTTTTTGAAGATGTAGCATTTTTTGCAGAGATGATGTTCTAACTAGAAATTTTATCCCAAACCATAAGTATTCATAGTTGATTTCTGCATTCCTCATGGAGGCACATATTAATAATAACCACAACATAGGGGGAAGGGGGAGCATTTAAAAGCTATTATGAAACATTTCAGTAATACAGTGGAGAAGAAAGTGGCAACCCACTCCAGTATTCTTGCCTGGAGAATCCCATGGATAGAGGAGCCTGGTGGGCTATAGTCCATGGGGTCGCAAAGAGTCAGACACGATTGAGCACGGCAGCATAGGCAGTGAATAAGGTTTTGAATACTTATGTATCTCCTGCTAAGCTCTATTAAATCCTACACACTTACCACATATTCTGTTAGATTTTTGGGGTTTTTTTTGCCACACCATGTAACTTGCACGATCTTAGTTCCCTGACCAGGAACTGAATCCCAGCCCTTGGCAGTGAAAGCACAGAGTCCTAACCACTGGACCACCAGGGAACTGCCTCTATCAGCTTTCTTAAAAGAAAGAAAACATTGCAGATAGAGTTCAGATGCCCTGTGTGTTACCTCCCAGACCCAATTACCCTCTGTTTCTTCCCAGGAAAAACCATCATCACAAATTTGGTGTTTATTTTTGCCATGCCATACACATAGATCCATTCATTACATACAACATTTTCAAATTTCATTAAAATATCATTATACTGAACTTCCCTGGTGACCCAGTGGCTAAGACTCTGCACTCCCAATGCAGGAGGTCTGGGTTCGATTCCTGGTTGGGGAACTAAGATCCCACAGGCTGCAAATAAGAGTTCACATGCCGCAACTAAAGAGCCTGTATGCCACAACAAAGATCGGAGATCCCTCATGCTACAATTCAAACCCAATGCAGGTTTGAAGGAATGAAGCAGGGCAGAGGCTAATAGAGTTTTGCCAAGAGAATGCACTGGTCATAGTAAACACCCTCTTCCAACAACACAAGAGAAGACTCTATACATGGACATCACCAGATGACCAACACTGAAATCAGATTGATTATATTCCTTGCAGCCAAAGATGGAGAAGCTCTTTCCAGTCGGCAAAAACAAGACTGGAGCTGACTGTGACTCAGAGCATTCCTTATTGCCAAATTCAGACTTAAATTGAAGAAAGTAGGGAACACCACTACACAATTCAGGTATGACCTAAATCAAATCCCTTATGGTTATACAGTGGAAGACAAATGGACAAATAGATGTAAGGGACTAGATCTGATAGAGTGCCTGATGAACTATGGACGGAGGTTCATGACACTGTACAGGAGACACCGATCAAGACCATCCCCAAGAAAAAGAAATGCAAAAAAGCAAAATGGCTGAGGAGGCCTTACAAATAGCTGTGAAAAGAAGAGAAGGGAAAAGCAAAGGAGAAAGGGAAAGATATATCCATTTGAATGCAGAGTTCCAAATAGCAAGGAGAGATAGAAAGCCTTCCTCAGTGATCAGTACAAAGAAGTAAAGGAAAACAATAAAATAGGAAAGACTATAGATCTCTTCAAGAAAATCAGAGATACCAAGGGAGCATTTCATGCAAAGATGAGCATAATAAAGGACAGAAGTGGTATGGACCTAACAGAAGCAGAAGATACTAAGAAGAGGTGGCAACAAAGAAGAACTGTACAAAAAAAAAAGATCTTCAAGACCCAGATAATCATGACGGTGTGATCACCCACCTAGAGCCAGACATCCTGGAATGTGAAGTCAAGTGGGCCTTAGGAAGCATTACTACGAACAAAGCTAGTGGAGGTGATGGACTTCCAGTTGAGCTATTTCAAATCCTAAAAGATGATGCTGTGAAAGTGCTACACTCAATATGCCAGCAAATTTGGAAAACTCAGCAGTGGCCACAGGACTGGAAAAGGTCAGTTTTCATCCCAATCCCAAAGAAAGACAATGCCAAAGAATGCTCAAACTACCGCACAATTGCACTCATCTCACTCGCTAGTAAAGTAATGCTCAAAATTCTCCAAGTCAGGCTTCAGCAATACATGAACCATGAACTTCCAGATGTTCAAGTTGGATTTAGAAAAGGCAGAGGAACCAGAGATCAAATTCAAACATCTGCTGGATCATTGTAAAAGCAAGAGAGTTCCAGAAAAACATTTATTTGTGCTTTATTGACTATGCCAAAGCCTTTGACTGTGTGGGTCACAATAAACTGTGGAAAATTCTGAAAGAGATGGGAATACCAGACCACCTGATCTGCCTCTTGAGAAATCTGTATGCAGGTCAAGAAGCAACAGTTAGAACTGGACATGGATTAACAGATTGGTTCCAAATAGGAAAAGGAGTACATCAAGGGTGTATATTGTCACCCTGATTATTTAACTTATATGCAGAGTACATCATGAGAAATCCTGGGCTGGATGAAGCACAAGCTGGAATCAAGATTGCTGGGAGAAATATCAATAACCTCAGATATGCAGATGACACCACCCTTATGGCAGAAAGTGAAGAACTAAAGAGCCTCTTGATGAAAGTGAAAGAGGAGAGTGAAAAAGTTGGCTTAAAGCTCAACATTCAGGAAACTAAGATCATGGCATCTGGTCCCATCACTTCATGGCAAATAGATGGGGCAACAGTGGCCGACTTTATTTTGGGGGGCTCCAAAAATCACTGCAAATGGTGACTACAGCCATGAAATTAAAAGACGCTTACTGCTTGGAAGGAAAGTTATGACCAACCTAGACAGCATATTAAAAAGCAAAGACATTACTTTGCCAACAAACGTGCGTCTGGTTAAGGCTATGGTTTTTCCAGTAGTCATATATGGACATGAGTTGGACTATAAAGTTGAGTGCCAAAGAATTGATGTTTTTGAACTGTGGTGTTGGAGAAGACTCTTGAGAGTCCCTTGGACTGCAAGGAGATCCAACCAGTCCATCCTAAAGGAGATCAGTCCTGAGTGTTCATTGGAAGGACTGATGTTGAAGCTGAAACTCCCATACTTCGGCCACCTGATGCAAAGAGCTGACTCATTTGAAAAGACCCTGATGCTGGGAAAGATAGAGGGCAGGAAGGGAAGGGGACGACAGAGAATAAGATGGTTGGATGGCATCACCAACTCAATGGACATGAGTCTGGGAGTTTACCAACTCCAGGAGTTGGTAATGGACTGGGATGCCTGGCGTGCTGCGGTCCATGGGGTTGCAAAGGGTCAGACACGACTGAGTGACCAAACTGAACTGGACAGCTAGTTCACTTCATTGTACAGCAGAAACTAACACAACATTGTAAGGCAATTATACTCCAATAAAAAGAAGACACATTCTCAGAGGACAGCATAATAAATAGCTCAAGGTTGCTCACAGGGGCTTCCCTGATGGCTCAGCTGGTAAAGAATCCACCTGCAATGCAGGAAACCTGGGTTCGATCTCTGGGCTGGGAAGATCCCCCAGAGAAGGAAACAGCTACCCATTCCTGGATTTCGGCCAGGAGAATTCCATGGGCTGTATAGTTCATGGGGTTGCAAAGAGACACAACTGAGCGACTTGTACTTTCACTTTCGTTCACAGAGCCCTTAAACGTATCCATCAACCAAGTCGGGTTTGCAGAGACCTCAGTTAGGGTATCTTTACTTAGGGACAGGCAATAATATTCACTTGATGAGGTCCAACTTAGGTGGGAGAAGAGCTGACTAGAGATCTCCCTCATAGCCTCCCTGGCTAGTTCCAGGGAAAGGGGAAGAGTCACATGACATTTCAGTGATTTTTTTTTTTTTAAGGGACAATTTGAGAAAAGACAGCTCCCTTGCATCCCTCCTTTCAAATATGACACTGGCCTGGTATAGCCAGCTCAAGTTCAAATCCAGATCCCACTACTTGCTAGGTGGGTGAGTTTGGGTAGGGTACCTTATTTCTGTTTCTCCTTTTGTAATAAGGGGATATGAAAAGTTACTATCTCATGCTGTTTTTGAGAAGATAAAATGAGAGAACACATACAGGAGTTCAAGTGGTGCTGGGAATATAGTATATAAAGTAATATAATGTTAATGATGAGGGTGATGCATATCCACACTCTGGCAAGTAGATCTCACAGTTGGAACTTTCCCCCCAGGCCAGCAAAGGTCACTTCACCTCCATGTCCCAAGACCTACTTCATTGTATCCTTGACATCTTGGTGTCCATAGTCCACCTCCAACTGACTGCTGAAACTCAATAACCCTTGGAGTTGTTTTTTTTTTTTTCTTATTGTCAAAATGATTCTAGCAATACAAAATGAAATGGCAAAGGAGGAAATCACACATAATCAGACGACCCTAACAAATAAAACTCAATTCATTTCTCCACATAACTCTCTGGCCTTTTCCCATGTATGTATACATTTTGACTGGATAGAATTACACATACGACTTTGCATTCTTTCCTTTCACCTTGCATCCAAAGTATTTTTTTTTAACTTGAATATTTATTTTTATTTAAATTTATTTTTAATTGGAGGATAATTGCTTTACATTATTGTGTTGGCTTCTGCCTCATATCAACATGTAACAGCCATAGGTGTACATATGTCCCCTCCCTCTTGAACCTTCTTCCCACCCCCCACCCCATACCACCCTTCTAGGTTATCATAGAGCACTGGATTTGAGCTCGCTACATCATATAGTAAATTCCCCCTGGCTATCTAATTTTACATATGGTAATGTATATGTTTTAATGCTACTCTCTCAATTCATCCCACCCTCTCCTTCCACTCATATGTCCAAAGTCTGTTTTCTATGTCTGTGTCTCTACTGTTGTCCTGCAGATAAGTTCATCAGTACCATTCTTATAGATTGCATATATATGGATTAATATACGATATTTGTTTTTCTGACTTACTTCACTCTGTATAATAGGCTCTAGGTTGATCAACCTTATTAGAACTGAGTCAAATGTGTTCCTTTTCATGGCTGAGTAATATTCCATTGTGTATATGTAGCTGACTTCTTTATCCATTCATTTATCAATGGACATCTAGGTGAGTTCCATGTCTTAGTTATTGTAAATATTGCTGCAATGAACATTGAGGTACATGTGTCCTTTTCAATTATGGTAGCATTTTTTATTTTAGCATACCCTCTGCATTGCTAGAGTAGTGTGTGAGACAAATCAGGACCTAGCTAAGTGACCAAGAAAGGCAAAATGATTAAGCAAAATTTTAAAACAGATTACTGAAACAAAAAGTTGAAACAGAATATCCTTTGTTTGAACAACTAAATTAATATGGTAATTCTCAGCAAATTCCCAATCCATTTACTGATCTTTTCCAAGAGGGTGGCACTTGTTGGGCATAGTTCAATGGCAATTGCTCCCTCTTTTAAGGTCCCTTCTCAGATCTAGACTTCAGTGCTTTCCTTCAAGAATGAAGACTAAGCGTACATCTTCACAAACAGTACATCAGAGCACAAAGTCTGAACACACCTACAGGGTAGAGTGCTAAACAGTACATCACAAGGCAGCAAGCAAGCTCTAAAATCCAACAAGGTGGCTGCTCTGGTAGAAAGCTTTCCCACAATCAATTATTTTATAGGTTTTCTGACTATTGTGAGTTCTCTGGTGTGTGATAAGGGAGGAGCTCTGGCTGAAGGCTTTCCCACATTCATTACAGAGATATGGCTTCTCTCCAGTGTGGATTCTCTCATGCCGAACAAGGGAAGACCTCTGGCTGAAGGCCCTTCCACACTGATTACACACATAGGGGTTCTTGCCAGTGTGAGTCCGTTCATGTTGGTTGAGAGATGAACGGTCACTGAAGGCTTTTCCACATTTATTACACTCATAGGGCTTCTCACCTGTGTGCGTTCTCTTGTGCAAGATCAGGTAAGAACTCTGGCAGAAGGATTTCCCACAGTCTTCACATTGATAGGGCTTTTCCCCTGTGTGGATCCTCTGATGCTGGGTAAGAGATGAAATCCTGTTGAAGGCTTTCCCACATTCATGGCATGCATAAGGCTTCTCTCCAGTATGAGTTCTCAAATGCCGAGTGAGGGTTGAGCTGTGTGTAAAGGCTCTCCCACATTCCTGACACTCAAATGGTCTCTCTCCTGTGTGAATTCTCTGATGCTCACTCAGGGAATGCCTCCGGTTAAATACTTTCCCACACTGGTGACATTCATAGGGTTTCTCCACTATATTGATTCTGTTTTGTATGGTAATTGCCATACCATGATTAAATGATTTCCCACTTTCTGCATATGCAGAAATTCTCTCCTCCATTTGAGTTCTTTCATGTGGAATAAGGTGAATATTTTGGCTGAGATCTTTTCCACATTTAATACTTTCACAAGGTCTCTGGGCTGGATATCCCATCTGATGATGGTTTAAGAATGGATCAGATACCAAACTCGCAATAGCTAAGTCATAGTCATAAAAATGTCTTCCTATAGAATGTCGTGATAAAACAAGGTCTGAACTCAGGTTATAGTTTTCCCCAAATTCATACCAGTCAATAGCCTTCTCTTGAGAAAATGCTTCTCTCCAGGGGTACCCCATTTCCCTCAAAAGCCTCTGGGAGTCTTCACAGTTCCCCTCAGATTCAGCATAACCCCAGTCCTCTCTGGGGATCTTTATAATATTCATACCCCCAAGTGGTTCTTCCTCCAAAACCACCTTCTTGTAAACTGACTGTTGGCTTCTCAGTTTTGTCTCCCAATCTGAAATAAATGGAAGGTTGGGTGGGGGGGGGGGAGCGGGAAGAAAGTTCTAACTTAAGAATAGTAGAACAAAATTATTTTCAACAACAACAAAAAAAGCATTTCCAACATATACAAAGGACCTGTGGATTCATGTTCAAACATCAGCTTTTAACATGGAGGAAGGCAAGGTGAAGGAAAGATGGATCAATATGCTGGTAGAGCAAAAAGTAAATGTGGAAAGAAAGGGGACTAAGACTGCAGAGGGAATAAGACAGACATATGGCAAAAAGCACATGAAAAGATGCTCAACATTGTGAATTCTCTGGCAATTCAATGGTTGGGACTTAATGCTCTCACTGCCAAAGGCCTGGGTACAGTCTCTGGTCAGGGAACTAAGACCTTGCAAGTTGTGCAGCACGCACCTCCCCCCCAAAAAAATTATGCTCAACATCACTAATTATTAGAGAAATGCAAATCAAAACTATAATGAGGTACCAGCTCACATCAGTCCGAATGGCCATCATCAAAAAATTTACAGATAATATATGCTGGAAAGGGTGTGGAGAAACGGGAACCCTCCTACACTGTTGGCAGGAATGTAAATTGGTGCATCTACTATGGAGAACAGTGCTTCCCTGGTGGCTCAGACGGTGAAGTGTCTGCCTGCAATGTGGGAGACCCGGGTTTGATCCCTGGGTCGGGAAGATCCCCTGGAGAAGGAAATAGCAACCCACTCCAGTACTCTTGCCTGGAAAATTCCATGGACAAAGGAGCCTTGTAAGCTACAGTCCATGGGGTCACAAAGAGTCGGACATGACCGAGTCACTTCACTTCACTTCACTATGGAGAACAGTAAGGAGGTTCCTTAAACAACTGAAAATAGAGCTACCGTAAGACCCAGCAATCCCACTCCTGGGCATATACCTGGAGAAAACCATAGTTTGAAAAGATACATGCACCCCAATGTTCATAACAGCACTATTCACAATAGCGAAGACATACAAAAAACCTAAATTGTTCATTGACAGATGAATAGATAAAGATGTTGTATATAAATAAACTGGAATATCACTCAGCCATAAAAAAGGATGAAATAATGCCATTTGTAGCCATGTGGATGAACCTGAAGATTGTCATACTGAGTGAAGTAAGTCGGAGAAGGACAGATATATGATATCGCTCTTATGTGCAATCTAAAAAAATGGTAGAAATTATTTACAAAACAGAAATAGAGTCACAGATTTAAAAAACAAACTTATGGTTATGGGGGAAAAGGGGTGGAGGAGGGATAAATTGGGAGATTGGGATTGACATATATACAATACTATATATAAAATAGATAACTAACAAAGACCTACTGTATAGCACAGGGAACACTACTCAATATTCTGTAATAACCTATATGGGAAACGAATCTGAAAAAGAATAGATACATGTATATGTATAACTGAAACACTTTGCTGTACACCTGAAGCTAACACAAAACATTACACATAAACTAGACTCCAATAAAATTTAAAAAAAAAATCAGAGTGAGGAGAAAAAGAATGGCAGAGGGAAAGAATTATCAAGAAAGCAGAGAGGGAAGAGATGAAACAGGAAACAGGTAGAATGGCTTCCAGAAGGAAAAGGGATGTTTTCCTCTGCACCTAAAGAGGGTTAGTGGAAGCTGGTTCATGGCAGAAGGTTGCTGGGGGATAAACTAAAGGCACGTGGGAAGGAACAGCCAAGGACCTCAGCCTTCTCCTTAGACAATTAGGGCCTCTGTGGAGGGACCTCTGACCAGGATTCCCCAGACACTGTCCCTATCCCAGTGGCCCATATCTGCCTGCTTCTCACCTGAACATGAAGCTTGCAGAGTTCCTTTCCCTGCCATCCACATGGCTTCTCCTTGCTCCAGGTAGAAAGATACCACTGGTTGAAAGAGTGAATATGCAGTCCACAGAGAAAGAGTGGTGACTTGAGAGGCTGATGCTAGGCATATGGTGCCATCCTCAAAGCCTGAATTGGGTCTCTGGTTCCTCAAGGCTTCTAAAAGAGACACAGGAAAGGTAACACAAAGACCAAGCTAAAGATTTTATTTTCCTCATTTAAAAAATGATCATACACTTCCTCAGAGATACAAATGGCCCAGTAAACACATGAAGAGATACTCAATATCACTAGTCATTAGGAAAACACAAATCAAAACCACAATGGATACCACTTTATACCTATTAAAATGTCCATAAGTTTTTTAAGGGCTTTCCAGGTGGCACTAGTGGAACAAGAGACATTATTGACACCTCAGCTAAGATGCATTTCTACAGTGGCGCAGGCTGCCATATACTGAAGGAATCAGACCATTTGCTGTACAGGAGACACCACAAGGGCAGGAACCATGCATGTCTCATTTGCCAGTAAATCTCTACTTCCTAACATAGTTCTTGATGTGCAGTAGATGCTGAACAAACATGACTTGACGGACACAGAAGGACCAGCTGGTCTTACCTACAGAGGCCAGGTTCCCACAGGTCTCTAGCATCACATCTCTATAGAGCTTCCTCTGACCAGGGTCCAGCATCTCCCACTCCTCTATGGAGAAGTCCACAGCCACATCCTTGAAGGTCACCACCTCCTAAAATATCATGATGGGTCAGCTCAAAAATGGCCCCCCCCAACCAATGTCCAGAGAAAGTAAAGTGAAGGTGTTAGTCACTCAGTCATGTCCAACTCTTTGCCACTCCATGGACTGCAGCACGCCAGGCTTCCCTGCCCTATTTCACCACAATTTAAAAAAATACATATGTGTGCATTTTAAAGAGGATGGCGCCTTGGGGCACCCCTCCCTACTCTATGGGAGAAACCTTGGGGTCTTCAGAGATGCTCAGAGCCCAGGAAGGAGGCCCAGTCCTCCTGAAGGGATAAGGGACCTCCTTTTTATATGTAAGAGCCACTGAATGCCTACACCCATACACTCATGACAAATTCTCCTCCTTTCCCACAAGGCAAGGGCGCTTGATGTCTGACAGGTCTGTTCCCTCTGGACATACTGGGTGCCTTTTGGGGGAGAGGAAGTCCCACTCACCTGGGGCCAGGGGAGCAGGCACTCAGCAGCCATCCTGTCCTATCTCCTGGGCAAAAGCAGGTAGGTTCCTGGGCAGGTAGGGCTGGAAGAGGAAAAATGTAGAGTGAAGACTAGATCTGGCCTGTCCTGGACCCGAGTCCCCTCCACCACTTGAGGTCACACATACACACAGAGGAGAGTCATGGAAGCCAGAGATGTGGACAGAATGAAGGGACAAAGGAGGTGATCAAATATTAATCCCACTAGGGGACTGGAAATACAAAAACATGGGAGACCCCTGTGCGTTAATTACTCAATAAAGCAGGTTTGCTTAGCTACAAAACCAAGTAGGCCTTCTTAACAACAAAACCATGTAACCAGAAGCACAAGACATGCCCCCAAACAATAAAACAGTGGTGACATGAGCCCCACATTCTGCCCAGTGAGTTCAGTAAGTTAATGATCCCTACGACATGCTCTTTGCACACATGAAAAACAATCATTTGTGGACCTAGCTTGACCACACAGGGACAAGAAAATTCCCTTGCTCAACCTGCAGGAGGAGATGCTGATGATGGAAGCATGATATCTACTCAAGAAAGACAAAGAAAGTCTTCTTCTCCTCCCCATTTTAAAACTGTAGACCACTAAGTTCTCATAGCATTTCTCATGTGCCTGCTTGTAAGCCTCACAAGCAACCTATTCTAATAAATCATTTATCTATCACTTTGCTCTTGCTGAATTCTTCTCTGCACTGAAACATTATCTTTCAGTGGTACTGGAGTTCTTCACAGCCCCCGTGAAATGACACCAATCAGTTTCACCAGGACAAGCCAGGGGTCTTAACAGCTCCATTTTCTGTGGGTTTTATTTGTTTTCTTGGCTGTGCTGTGTGGCATGCAGCATGTGGGATCCTAGTTCCCTGACCAGGGATCAAAACCCTGCCCCCTGCAGTGGAAACAGAGAATCCTAACCACTGGACCACCAGGGAAGTCCCAGTGATCCCTTTTCTGGATGAAGATACCAGAAGATATCAAGTCTTGGAAGCACACAAGTTCTATTGTGATACACTCTGTACTAGTGTCCCAAGGTGCTGTGACAAATGACTACACAATTGGGAGGCTTAAAACATCACAAATTTATTTTCTTCCAGGGAGGTGAGAAGTCCAAGATTCAGGTGTGGCAGGACCCATCCCCTCCAAAGGCTCTGGGTGAGGGTCCTTCCTTCCTGCAAGAGATATAAGAGACATGGATTCGATACCTGGGTCGGGAAAATCCCCTGGAGGAGGGCATGGTAACCCGTTTCAGTATTCTTGCCTGGAAAATCCCATGGGCAGAGGAGTCTGGTGAGCTATGATCCATAGGGTTGCAAAAAGTCGGACAGGACTGAAGTGACTTAGCATGCATACACATACTTCAATTAAAAAACAAATTAAAAAAGACAATAACGAGTGTTGCCAAGGATGGGAGACTCTCACGCATTGCTAGTGGGAATGGAAAATGGTGTAGCCATTGTGAAAAACAGCTACCACAACTGCTGAGGCCCAGGCTGTACAGCCTGGGCACCACAACAAGAGAAGCCACTGCAATGGTAAGCCTGGGCACCACTAGACAGCCCACATACAGCGATGCAGACTCACCACAGCCAAAAATAAGTGAGTAAATAAACACAAGTTTTAAAAATAGAAAAGTTTAAAAATCTAAAAATGGTGGCAGCTTTCACAAGATCCATGAGGGACCCAAGGGGATGTGATGCAAATTCTTTTCCTGAGAGCTGGCTCTGACCCCCTCCACGTGGGGGGTGGGAGCTATGGGTGCAGGATACCATGCTGAGCCATGGCTAATGGTTGCATCAGATGATGGAACACATGATAATTTACCCTGGGGAAACATCTGCTGATGGGTGCCTCTCGGGGACACACAATACTTAACCTGGGGAAACACCCGCTGATGATAAGACTGGCGTGGGCTGAACCATGTCCTCTAAGTCTTGACCCTGAGTAGCTGTGAATGGGACCTTATTTATAGATAGGATCTTTGCAGAGGTAATTAGTTAAGATGAAGTCATATACCAAAATCAGATTGATTATATTCTTTGGAGCCAAATATGGAAAAGCTCTATACAGTCATCAAAAACAAGACTGGGGGCTGACTGTGGCTCTGATCATGAACTCCTTATTGCCAAATTCAGACTTAAATTGAAGAAAGTAGGGAAAACCACTAGACCATTCAGGTATTACCAAAATCAAATCCCTTACAGTTATACGGTGGAAGTGACAAATAGATTTAAGGGGTTAGATCTGATAGGTAAGAGTGCTTGAAGAACAATGGGTGGAGGTTCGTGACATTGTACAGGAGGCAAGGATCAAGACCATCCCCAAGAAAAAGAAATGCAAAAAGGCGAAACGGTTGTCTGAGGAGGCCTTACAAGTAGCTGTGCAAAGAAGGAAAGCAAAAGGCAAAGGAGAAAAGGAAAGATATACCCATTTGAATGCAGAGTTCCAACGAATAGCAAGGAGAGATAAGAAAGCCTTCCTCAGTGATCAATGCAAAGAAATAGAAGAAAACAATAGAATAGGGAAGACTATAGATCTCTTCAAGGAAATTAGAGATACCAAGGGAACATTTCATGCAAAGATGGGCACAATAAAGGACAGACATGGTATGGACCTAACAGAAGCAGAAGATATTAAGAAGAGGTGGCAACAATACACAGAAAAACTATATAAAAAAAGATCTTCATAACCCAGATAACCATGATGGTGTGATCACCCACCTAGAGCCAGACATCCTGGAATGCAAAGTCAAGTGGGCCTTAGGAAGCATCACTATGAACAAAGCTAGTGGAGGTGATGGAATTCCAGTTGAGCTATTTCAAATCCTAAAAGATGATGCTGTGAAAGTGCTGCACTCAATATGCCAGCAAATTTGGAAAACTCAGCAGTGGCCACAGGACTGGAAAAGGTCAGTTTTCATTCCGATCCCAAAGAATGCTCAAACTACCACACAATTGCACTCATCTCACACGCTAGCAAAGTAATGCTCAAAATTCTCCAAGTCAGGCTTCAGCAATACATGAACCGTGAACTTCCAGATGTTCAAGTTGGATTTAGAAAAGGCAGAGGAACCAGAGATCAAATTGCCAACATCCGTTGGATCATCGAAAAAGCAAGAGAGTTCCAGAAAAACATCTACTTCTGCTTTATTAACTATGCCAAAGCCTTTGACTGTGTGGATCACAATAAACTGTGGAAAATTCTGAAAGAGATGGGAATACCAGACCACCTGACCTGCCTCCTGAGAAATTTGTATGCAGGTCAAGGAGCAACAGTTAGAACTGGTCATAAACCAACAGACTGGTTCCAAATCGGGAAAGGAGTACATCAAGGTTGTATATTGTCACCCTACGTATTTAACTTATATGCAGAGTACATCATTAGAAATGCTGGGCTGGATGAAGCACAAGCTGGAATCAAGATTGCTGGGAGAAATATCAATAACTTCAGATATGCAGATGACACCACCCTTATGGCTGAAAGCAAAGAAGAAATAAAGAACCTTTTGATGAAAGTGAAACAGGAGAGTGAAAAAGCTGGCTTAAAGCTCAACATTCAGAAAACTAAGATCATGGCATTGGGTCCCATCACTTCATGGCAAATAGATGGTGAAACAATGGAAACAGTGACAGACTTCATTTTGGGGGGCTCCAAAATCACTGCAAATGGTGACTACAGCCATGAAATTAAAAGATGCTTGCTCCTTGAAGAAAAGTTATGATCAATCTAGACAGCATATTAAAAAACAGACATTACTTTGCCAACAAGGTCCATCTAGTCAAAGCTTTGGTTTTTCCAATAGTCATGTATGGATGTGAGACTTCGACTATAAAGAAAGCTGAGCGCCGAAGAATTGATGCTTTTGAACTGTGGTGTTGGAGAAGACTCTTGAGAATCCCTTGGACAAGAAGGAGATCCAATCAGTCCATCCTAAAAGAAATCAGTCCTAAATATTCATTGGAAGGACTGATGCTGAAGCTGAAACTCCAATCCTTTGGCCACCTGATGCAAAGAACTGACTCATTTGAAAAGACCCTGATGCTGGGAATGATTGAAGGCGAAAGAAGAATGGGACAACAGAGGGTGAGATGGTTGGATGGAATCACTGACTCAATGAGTTTGAGTAAGCTCTGGGAGCTGGTGGTGGACAGGGAGGCCTGGCATGCTGCAGCCCATGGGGTCGCAAAGAGTTGGACTGAGCAACTGAACTGAACTGAACTGAAGTCATATTGTGATAGAGAGGGTCCTAATACAATATGACTGGTGTCTTTAAAAAAGACACACAGACTTCCCTAGTGGTTTGGTGATTAAGACTCTGTGCTCCCAATGCAGGTTCGATCCCTGGTCAGGGAACTAGATCCCACATGCCACAACTGAGAGTTTAAATGCTGAAACTTCCTGGTGGTCCAGTGGTTGGAAGTCTGCCTGCCAATGCAAGGAACATAGGTTCCATCCCTGGTCCAGGAGGATCCCACATGCCTCAGAGCAACTGAGCCTGTGTGCCACAACTGCTGAAGCCCGCTCACCCTAGAGCCCATGCTTCACAACAAGAGAAGCCACCACAATGAGAATCCTGCATACCACAACGAAGAGTAGCCACCACTCAGCACAACTAGAGAAAGCCCATGCATAGCAACGAAGACCCAGTGCAGACAAAAATAAATAAATAAAAATTTTAATGGGGAAAAAAATAGACATGTGGACTTCCCTGGTAACCCAGTGTCTAAGACTCCACACTTCCAATGCAGGGGGCCTGGGTTTGATCCCAGGTCAGGGAACTAGATCCCACATGTGAAATGAAAGATCTTGCATGCTTCAATTAAGACCTAGTGTAGCCAGAAAAATAAAAATATTTTTTAAAAAGAGACACAGGGAGAAGGCCATGGGACAAAAGAGGCAGAGACTGGAGTGATGTGGCCACAAGCCAAGAGACACCAAGGACTGACTGCCACCACAGGAGGCTGGAAGAGGCAGGAAGGACCCTCCCCTGGAGGCTTCAGGGGGACCAGAGCCTTGTGACATCTTGATCTATCTGCTCTCAGGACTTTAAATTGCATCTGATGGTAATGAGTTCAGGACCCCCTATCCCTTTTTGAGCTCTTTCAATCAATCTGCTCCCACCCTCGGGAGGTTCAAGGGATTTCCCCCTCCCTTGTGGTTGATGTCAGTGACCCCATTTGGCCCTCTTTCACCTAGGCCTCTGGCATCTGCCTCAGGGTCTTCCCTTTCAGGGTTCAAATCACTGAAACTTTGTCCTTTCTCCATAAGAAAGCACTGATGAGGGCTTCCTGGCAGGGAAAAATGGCAATCCACCCCAGGAAACAGGAGGCATTGGAAGAATGCTCGGCTGTGACCTCATTCCTGAGCAGGGGTGTCTGGGTATCAGTGGAGTAGACCCTTGATAGCTTCTCACTGGAATCGCAATGTTAAGGCTAAGCCAGGGTCTCTCCTTGACACCTACACTGGGGCTGGATTGTTCTCTGAGGGGTGTTCTGGGCGTTGTGGGGTGTGGAGCAGCTTCCCTGGTTCCATTCCCTCCATGCCAGAAGCCCCCAGGTCCTGACAACCACAGACGGCCTCAGACACTGCCCAGTATCACCCCTCCAAGGGGTCAGAACCATCCAAGGTGAGACCTCCCCGCTGGGTTTGCCCAAGCGCCCAATGAGTCTACACACAGGAGTCTGGGCGTTCGGTTTACTCCATATCCCTGTAACATTAGGCCTTTGAGAACTCCATTTACCTCACAGCCGAGTTTGCCCCACAGACCTGTCGTGCAGGGGTATTTTCACAGGGCAGGTGCTGGACTGTTTCACAAGGTAGGTTCAAGCTGCCCGACTTCTCTAACTCTCCTTCGCGCCTGCAGTGTGACAGGTGGAGGAAACCCAAGGGTAACAGTCCAGGCCACCCCTCCCACTCGGGACCCCTCCCCAGACCCCGTCCCGACCCCAGATAGCCTAGCTACCCGCACAGGCGCGGGGGCCAGGCTCCGGGGCCGCATCCTGTTTGCGCGGCCCGGATGAAAGATGCCCGGGTGCTGCGGCCCCAGGTGTGGGCGCAGGTAACCCACAGCGCAAGCCTAGTCTACCTGAGTCCCGCCGCGGAGGAGGAGCTCAGTGCGGCGTGACCCGTGGACCCGTCAGCACCCGGCCTACCCGCGCCCCCCATCGGCGACCCCAGTTAACTCACACCGCCGTTGTCTCCCGGGGACGCGCGCCCACAACGGACTCAGCAGTGCGCTTGCGCACCACGAGGCCAAGAACTACAAGTCCCAGAAGGCTCCGGGCGCGATTCTGCGTCTCTGTCCCCTGGAGGCGGCTGAGTTGAGTCACAGCGCCCTCTCTGGGCGGGCGGTGTCTCCGCAGGATTGAGATACCTCCTACCTCAGAGGACGTCCTCATATCCCAGTCGCACACGCGCGCTCCTGGAGCACGCGCGAATTTCTTCATTAAGGGAAAAAATCGAGTGGCGGTCTAGTGGGCTCCCCGCTGCCACTGCAGGGGGCACAGTGTCGATTCCTGATCGGGGGACTGGAGCCCATATGCCGCGTGGCACGGCCTAAAAAAAAAATAAGGGTGAAAATTCAGTATATTCAGCACTATGCCTGAGACATAGATTTGCCAATAAAACAATAATAACTTATTATTAGATATTATCATTAACACATTAGTAAATGTATAGGACATTATATAGTAAAATTATTGTTTTAATGATAGTTTATTTATTAGCAATATTAATATATTGATTTATGTTGTGGTGGTGGTGATTTAGTCACTAAGTTTTGTCTGACTCTTGTGACCCCATGAACTGTAGCCTGCCAGGCTCTTTCGTCCATGGAGTTTTCCAGGCAAGAATGCTGGAGTTGCCATTTCCTTCTCCAGGGGATCTTTCTGACCCGAGGATCAAACCCAGGTTTCCTGCACTGCTGACAGATTTTTTACCGACTGTGCTACCAGGGAATTCCCTAGATTTATGTCACTAGTATTCTATTAAATAATAAAACTACCACGGTTAATATAAGTTGGTAATATATTCTTAAAACAAAACTTGCAACCTCCAGAATGGTGAAAAGCACATTGTTGGTGAAACCACCAAGTCCATTGTCATTTGTTATAGCATCCTGAATGATCTCAATGTGCTGGATGATTTTTCAGCCTATCTTTTTCAGACTGACTTTTCCAGGCTTAGCCCATGACATGGAATGTGTGCTGCCTGGATTCCCCCTTCAGGACTGAAGGTCCTATTCTTCCTGCAGCTGGAATGCTACTGACCAATGTGAAGTGAAAGTTGCTCAGTCGTGTCTGACTCTTTGTGACCCCATGGACTATACAGTCCATGGAATTCTCCAGGCCACAACACTGGAGTGAGTAGCCTTTCCCTTCTCCAGGGAATCTCCCCAACCCAGGGATCGAACCCAGGACTCCTACATTGCAGGCAGATTCTTTGCCAGGCAGATGCTTCCCCACAAGGGAAGCCTTGCTTAATTCAAAATAATAGGGACTTCCGTGGTATGCCAGTGGGTGAGAGTTCGTCTTCCAACGCAGGGAGTGAAGGTTCAATTCCTGGTTGGAGAACTAAAAGCTCACATGCCACGGGGCAGCTAAGCCCGTATGCTGCAACAAAAGACCCTGCATGCTGCAGTAAGACCCCATGCAGCCAAATAAATATTTTATTTTTTTTTCAAATAAATATTTTAAAATATGTATCATTCTAGATACAAAGATTAAGAACCACTATCATTATCCCTGTGATCCATAGATACTTCATCTGCTGCTAATAAAGCATGTTTATTGACAACACTTTTTCTGATTACCCACTCTGTGTGCAGCTAGAGCTGAGGTTCTGGGTTCATGAAGACCCGTTAGGGAAACTCATCTGCTGTTTCAACTACGTCAATTGTTCACGTAGGAATATTTCCAATCAAACATATAGGCACCTGCATAGACATTGTCTCCAACCACCCCAAACCTTCCCCAACAATCCAATAAAAAGTCTTGGGCGTACAGTGTCATATTTTAATCTTATACTGATTGTTCTTTTATTCTCTCAGTAAAAATACTTCCTGCCAACCCATCATTATAATTATTAGGATCTCCTTTTTGTTTGGAATGTTCTCACCACTGCCTAGGTAATCCTACCTAATCCCTAATCAGGAATTCCCTATTTCTGAAATGTCATGGAACATGAATGCAATCAGTTTGACTTAAGAAGCCAAAACTCTAATCAGGAACAGGCCACAGAAGTGCAGCAATGAACTGGGAGCTGTCCAAGTGCTGAAACATGATACAGAATGAGACAGGGTGCCAATTAAAAACTTTTGTGGGCACTTGTTCTAAATCGCTTGTCGTGTCCAACTCTTTGTGACCCCATGGACTGTAGCCCACAGGCTCCTCTCTCCAAGGGATTCTCCAGGCAAGAATGCTGGGATAGGTTGCCATTCCCTCCTTCAGAGGATCTTCCCGACTCAGGGATCGAACTCATCTTTTCTCTCTCTCCTGCATAGGCAGGTGGGTTCTTTACCACTAGTGCCACCAGGGAAGCCCAAGAATTATTCTACCCTGTAGTAAAATACATCTGGGCTTTCCTGGTGGCTCAGTGGTAAAGAATCTGCCTGCCAAGCAGAAGACTTGAGTTTGACCCCTGGGTTGGGAAGATCCCCTGGAGGAGGAAATGGCAACCCACTCCAGTATTCTTACCTGGGAAATCCAATGGACAGAGGACCCTGGTGGGCTACAGTTTGTGGGCTCACCAAAGAGTTAGACATGACTTACGGACTAAATAACAACAACAAAATTTATCTATATTCTAAATGGATATTGAGTCCATCAGAAAACTGTTAGGGAGGACTTCCCTGGTGGTTCAGTGGTTAAGACTCTGCTTCCAATGCAGGGTGCACAGGTTGATCCCTGGCCAGGGAACTAAGATCCCGCATGCCACATGGTCTGGCCAAAAAGAATTATACAATTATATATAATCAAATACATTGAATTTCTAAATCAAAGTTATGTGCAGAGATTCACTGAAGGAGATCCAATGCCCTCTGCCTAAGAAATGTATTGTTTTGGTAATGACCATGTCAATTGTCTTCTCATTCTTTACCTTACACTCAGCAGGTATACAGGGTTGGGAGCAGTTTTTATCAAACCTGACTTCTGATCCTCTTTGGATGCATCACCCTGGGTCAATTCCTTTAGGTGATCAATAAAATATTCAAAAGTGCTTGGTTGTACTTTCCAGCTATGAGTAACAGAATAACCAACTCAAACTACCCTTTTAAGAAGGAAATTCTTCATCTCCCTTAACAGAACATGGAGAGACATTGGAGTAGGGGCATGAAGGGAGGGAGGGAGGGAGGGGGCGTGGAGACAGGTGCAAAGGGAAGCAGGTGGAAAGGCCCTGGGGTATCTCCAAACCCTTCCCTCTTCACTTTCCTCCTGGGGCCAGACAGCCCCTGCAGCCACAACTGACGGCTGAGGAGCCTGGAGGAAGGCATGGCAACCCACTCCAGTATTCTTGCCTGGAGAATTTCCAGATAGAGGAGCCTGGTGGGCTACAATCCATGGGGTCACAAAGAGTCACATGTGACTGAGCGTCTGAGCACACTCAAACTTGAATCCCAGGAAGGTGGCAGCCAAGGATACTCATTCCCTTACTCCCTGCCCGTCCCCAGCCTTGAGCTAACCCTGTTTCCTGCTACCATTATACTGAATTAGCAGACATGTGATATACTTTTAACATACACACCCTTCCGAACATGGTGTTTGTTCTGAGACTCAACAGAGGCCAGGAGCCCGGGCAGTCTTGGGCAGGTCCTGCCCTGCGTCCCCCTCGACCAGAACCACCTCTTCTCCCCGTATCTCTGCCATAGCCCTAAGTCGGGCAGGCAGGCACCTAGATAGGTCCCTGGAGGCTCCTACAAGGTGGGGCATTCTGCCAAGCCCAGCCTCGGCTGTGCCACATCTCAGGTGGGGTCTCTGAGATGTGGTCAAGGACGCACTCTGGCTTGCAGGTGACAGGAGAGGTGATCCAGTGGCTCAAAGTTCCCAGTGTGGGGTGGCAATGGGGTCTTGGGGAGGCCCGCCCTCACGGCATGGGCTCCTTTGTGCCGCGTGGCCTCTGTCTAAGGACAGCTCTGCCAGACCGCTCATACTCTCCAAGTTCCAAGTCTGGGGGAAAACAGAATTTCTTTCCCCAAACCGCTTCAACAAAAATCATGGGCCTGACAGCACCAGCCTCAACTGGACTACCTCTCGATGTCTGGGCTGAACCCTGTGGCTGGCGAGATGACCCACATGGCCTGCTTTAACCTGGGACCCCTGACTCCCTCTGGCATGGAGGGGTCCCCAACAGTGGGGACACCCACGGGCAGTTCAGGATGTGTGGATAAGACCGGTGCACTGGCCAGTGGCCACCTGTGCTCAGCCCGGCTGAGGTGGGTCTCCCAGGAGGCCCCACTCACCCAACAGCCTAACCCTGAGGCTTGAACCCAGAGCCCCCCTGCCCAGCCCAGGCCAGACCCACTCCCTGTGTTGCTTGTCTATACTGGATCGGGGATTTCCCTGGCAGTTCAGAGGTTAATACTCTGTGCTTCAAACACAGGGGGCATGTGTTTGATCCCCAGTTGGGCAACTAGGATCCCGCATGACATAAGGCGAGGCCAAAAAACTCCAAACAAATGAAAAACAACCAGTTGGCCACAGCACTGTTCCTGCAGTGGAAGGGAGGCAGGCAGAGATCAAGACTGAATCTTTTTTTTTTTAATGGCTGCTTTTCAAAGAACTGTTTTTTAACTAGGGAAAACTCCCAGGAAAGGGCTGCATTAGTGCAACAAAGAGGCGTCTTGACCAGACAGGAGACTTTCCCGACACCTCCAGGTGGAGACCTTTCAGCCCATGTGGGCCGATGGGGACACAGGGACTGGGCGGGGGGGAGGGGGGTGGACACGCAGCCCCTCCCCTGCCCGGTCCCTGGGCTGGAGCCCCCCACCTGCCCCGTCTGGGCACTAAGGCACCTGGACAGGTAGCACATGGCTGGGCCCGCCAGGGTGGGGGGCCAGAGCCCTATGCCATCAGCAGGCTGGCGGCTCACAGCCCTCCACCTGCAGCCCTTTGCTCAGGAGAAAGGCGTCCTGCTTGGGGTCACGACCCAGGAAGAGCTTCAACATGACACTGGCGTCCTCGGAGCCGCCCGGCCTCAGGATGCAGCTTCTGTAGTCCATGCCGACCTGCCAAGAGGGCGCGGGGCTGGAGGAGGGTTGCGCACCCCTCCCTGGCTCCAAGGGGCCCTCGGCATCACCAGGGAGGAAGGATACCCAGCATCTGGGGGTGTAGGGGGCAGGAGCCCTCAGGGCAATGGGGCCCAGGCCGGTCTCTCACCTTGCCACTCAGGACGCCCTCCTGCTTGAAGCGCGTGTGGAACATGTCAGCAGAGTACACCTCACTCCATAGGT